CCCGCTTTTTTTTATCCATTCTGTTGCAACATTGGTATTCTCCAATTCAAGTCAATCAAATAGTTTTTGAACAACACCTAACAAAAGGTGAAGCTCAGGAGGGGGAATATACTTTAAGGCAGGTGTTTCTTCGTCGCCAATGATTAAAGATATGTTTATACAGTTTTCTAAAAAATAATTGCCCTTTTTTATATGGTTCATTGAACAACAGTTTAAAAAATACAAAAAAAATATTTCAAACAAAAACGCTTATTAACTAGCCAAATTTCATAGTTTTAGGTCAAGGGAAAATACCCTGTAAATTTTGATTTTTTTGAGAGTGTCGAAATAAGTATACGTTTTTTCCATAGCAACTGTTAAAATTGCATTATATCTATCAAAAATAGTAGATAAAATAGTACTTTAATCACAAGGGTAGATTAAGTGATACTTTAACAGCGAGGATAGGTTAAAAACTTTATTTCTTCTCGCACGTTTTTTAATCGATTCCATTATTGAACATTTTTGTAATCCTTTTCATAGTTATTCGGGATTTAAATGGAAGTAGTTTAGATATGGCGTTTGTCGCCTCAGCCTGAGTATCTGTTGGTAATTTACTTGTTTCGTTTTGAGCCATTTCTGGCTCCAATTCAATCAGCAATCGACACGAAAGAGAATTAAAAAATACCTATTGATTCAAAACTGATAACTAAAGAGACAGCTTTATTTATTTGTCAAATTACATAGAAACCAACGCCAACCCAGCACAATATTTTTTCTACTCGTAATAAATTCCTTGAAATAATAATTTCTGAATATTTTTTAAAACGTAACTCGCTATGGAAATAATATTGTTTTATACACAACGATAAAATTGCATTTTATCGTCTTGTATAAAAAATAACTATTTTTTGTTGCATAAACGGCCATATTTTTTTTCGCGTTAACTTAGAAGTTTGATTTATTCATAGTTTCAAAGGACTGCAGAGTATATGGTTTTAATTTCAACTGGATAACTCCACGAGTCCACGAGATTAAGGGTTTTGACAGGCAGACAGGCAGAAATGAGAGAAATATGTCTAAACAAAAATAATGTGTATTTTTGAGAGAAATAATATAATTCAGCAACTCCCTTAAAGTTTTTTATTGGGCAATAAATTATTCTAATTCATGAATCCCCGACTCATAATTTTAGTTTAGTCGTATTTTGGTGTATAACAGTTTCTACGAGATATTTTCTTTTCAAAGAGCTAACTTTTTTAATTTAATATCGTATAAGTTGCTACTTTGAAAGTTGTTAAAAATTAATTTTTTATCTGATGTTTTCTGAAAATGTTAATTACTGATTTACAAGGATCTTGTGTTATATAATAATAATAAATAACGCTTTAGTGTGTAACAGCGCTTTCACATGCGACGGACCGTCCGCGACGGACCGTCCCTAGTGTTTTTTGCGGACGCTCCATCGCGGACGGTCCGTCGCATGTGAAAACGCTGTAAAAAGCCAAAATAGCTTCATCGACAAAGCATTTACAAAACAAATAAAAGCATAAAAAATATACAAATAATAAAAAATATACTATACAAATCATACTATTTAAAAAAATTTAAGTCATTAAAATTACAAATAGAACATACATGGACAATTGCAGAACACAAAAAAGGCGTAAAAATAAAATTTACAATAGGAAAATTGTAAATGGATATAGTTTTAAGAATTATGAAATATTAAATACTCGACTTTTGACCAGTTTGTGAGATGATCAAAATTTTAAAATTCAAAATTGGTCAAGATTAAACATCAACAAAATAGTCGTTTACCGCATATAGAGCTCTCCCCAGTAAGTATGATTTCAGAGCTTTGCGAAATGCGGGAAAGAATGAAAGCGACTTGATATTCAAAGGCAGATGACATGTAGATTTTTTGGCATTGTACAGTAGTGAGCCTTTAACTAGTTCTGAACTCGGGGTTGGCAGATAAAGATCGTGCTTCGCATTCCTAAGAGGATAGTTGTTAGATGGCCTTTCGGGAATAGTAGATATTATGTGCTTGCGCATTAAGCAAACGGATTCAAAAATGAATAAGAAGGAAGAATCAGTATATTGAAATTTTTAAAGAAATTCTGGCAGTGAGTTCTACTGTTTAGTCCCAATAAATATCGAACTGCTCTCTTTTGAAGTTTGAAAATATGATCAAATTTTGTTGCGCAGCGAGTACCCCAGAATGGAAGGGCATAACGAAGATGTGACTCAAAAAGGGCATAATAGGCTATTTTAGACGTTGAGAAGTTAAGTTCCTTAGAAACTGATCTTAGCACAAAACAGGCAGCGCTTAGTTTTTTTGATAAAATTTCGATGTGCAAGTCCCATTTTAACGAGTTGTCTACAACAAGTCGTAAGAATTTCCCAGAGTACACGACGTCAGTAAGTGGTGTTATTAAGTAAAAAAAGTTGTATAGTACTTTTATATGACAAAACTTTAGTCTTTGATAGGTTGAGGCATAGGAGATTAGAATCACACCAAGATTTAATGGTGCGTAAGTCACTGAATATAGTATTATATAGTGCCGTAAAATCTGGGCCGCTCCAAGTGAAACTAGTATCGTCTTAATATCGTCCGCAAAGAGGCAGATTTTACAGCTAATGTCTAGATTTGCAATGTCGTTGATAAACACCAGAAACAAAATAGGGTCAAGTACTGAACCCTGAGGGACACCACATTCTATAGGCTTACAAGAAGACATAGATGTATCAATCCTCACAAGCTGCCTTCTGTTGCAAGATATGACTTAAGCCATTCGAGCGGCTGTTGGTGAAGAGTTCATCATGGATTAATTGGAACCTAATTGCATGATACCGGGACGAAGTATTACTACCACATTCGGTGGTAATACCGGGTAATACTATACGACCGAAAAAAATACAGGGTTAAAGACGTCTTTTATTTGGCCCGTGCTTTTCTATATTTTGTAATGGCGCATACTGCCAGTTGGTCTTAAGAAGATTGTAATTTCTTTTTATATTGATTAAAAATGATTTATAAACGGTGTCGTTTAAAATTCAAGAAAATATATATTTTTTGTAAATAAACTTGTAGATATGCCTGGAAACGTCCTCCATGCTTTTTTATTTTGAGATAGATATTTAGAATTACATAAATAGCTATAGATTTTATATCCTAATCGTTGATGTGTAGCGAGTAGCAATCGCTACACTGATCGATCAAATTTAGCGCAACAAGTTACCAGACAGACACTCCCTTCCAGATCCATTAATACTGGGTTTTTAAAGTTGCCCTTAGTAAACTGAAAAGGACCACCCTAAAAAAGGGGAAAGTTTACATGGGCCTTGTCGGTTGGCCGTTTTCCTTCTGCCTCGGAATTCTCCATAAATCGTTAACTGTTTGGGGAATAAACAGGAAAGCGGGTGTTGACTAATGATCAAACTTTTTAGAAGATTATTATCGACTGGAACAGACATTGCGTCTAGATGGCACGCTTCGATGAATTTAAAAAAAGTCGATAGAGTCGAAGTGAATTTAAGAAACTAGTTCTAAAGAACCTTCAATGATGTTAGAATATCAATCTGTCTTTCACATAATGGGGAATCGAAACTAAGTAGGCCAATAGAGTTATTATCCCTATACACGGTCAGGAAAACCTGGCTTTGGGTGCCGTGATTTTTACTAAGAGACTTTTTTTACGTAGAAAACGTCGTAAATGTATATTTTTTATTCACTGGTTTTACAGGGTGTCTCAAGAAACATGCGCCATCTCTCGTGGGGAGATTCATCACGTAAAAATAAGATTTATTTTTCAAATTAACATAGGTTCCAATCTGCTTTGTTTCGTAGCTACAAGGTGTTAATGTCTTAATATTTTTTTGATTTATTATAATTTTCTTCCAAGTACTTCTAGCATTTCGAATGAAGTTTTGATAGTAAAAGTAACTATAACTGCGACATATTTTAAAGCTAAAAAAGTGTCGACATATTCACCAGGGACGTGCATATGGGTTATCACAAATTGCGTTTATCTCATCAAGGAGGCCGAATTGGAATTGGGATCAAGAAATAACTTTTAATTGGCATTAAACGGCCTACACAATTTTGATATCAAAAGAAAAAGCCAGTGGCGCACATGTTTCTTTCTTGAAAAATATTCCAGTGATAACCCACATGCACGTCCCTGATGAATCTATTGACACTTTTTTAGCATTAAAATATGCAACACTTATAGTAACTTCTACCCCCAAAATTTCATTCAAATCACTAAAAGTACTTGGAAGAAAATTAGAAGGAATCGAAAGTTAAAAAAAAAATTAACATCCTGTAGCTATGAAACAAAGCAGAATCGGACCTATGTTGATATAAAAATAAGTCTTATTTTTACGTGAGGAATCTCCACACGAGAGATGGCACATGTTTTTTAAAACACCCTGTATACAGGTACGGACGAAAAGTTTAAATTTTTCGTCCGTACGTTTATAAAACCACTGCCACTGGTTTGAAGAAAGCATTAATCTTCAAAACGGTTAAAAATATGTAGGTGGCGCCCTCTACAATTAGGAGTCATATTGACATCAAAATCAAATTTCTTATGTCAAAACACTCCCAGACACCAATTTTCATCTTAATATTGACATTACTTCAGAAACTATTTAGAAAAAATCGAAATAAAAATGAAACTTTGACATCCGGTATCTCCGAAACTAAGCATTTTAGGACATACATTTATACGAACTTTTTACTTATTTTTATCTGCAGAATATGCTGCCAAAGTTTCCGGAATACAGTTCGGACCATCCTGTATACAGTCTGTGTATATCCATCCTGTATACAGTCTGTGTCTATTAAACTAAGATTGTTGCACCTTTATATTTTGTTGAAAAATCAATTATTATAATTACGGTAACATAATATGTGCAACAGGGACAAAGGGGTGCGATTTAACTTTAAGAAAGGGAGAACAGTAGAGCACTAGAACAGTAGTAGTGATTTAAGTATGTTATTTTTGTTGTAGCTGTACCGTTCCCGCCGAGCCATAAGTTGACCGTGGCCGAGGTGTTCGATCCGAAGAGCGCGAAGCCGAAGCCCGACGTGCTCAAGCAGCACTTCATCCTCGAGGGGCGCATCGATGAGGCGGCGGCGTTGCGCATTATCAACGAGGGCGCGCAGCTGCTGCGCGCCGAGAAGACGATGATAGACATCGAGGCTCCCGTCACAGGTAGGTCACACAAACCATTAATATACCAGCAGTATGCATAGATATATAGGGTGCAGGCGTGGACACATTTTTCAAGAATAGTATTGAAGCATTATGTAATTTTTACATAAAAAAGTTCAAATGAGTTTCAGAAAAAAATTGTTTGGTTATCTGTAGAAACGACACATCATTTTTTATAGTGTTTGCATTTTGTGTTTTTTCATAAGCGGCCACTACACTATTCCCGAAATGTTCCTGGAAATATCTCGTTAAACATTTCGTGAAGCATTTATCGAAATACTTTTAGAAGTAAACTCAATGCTTTTTTGCGGGGAATATTGGCTAATCTCGGTTGTAAACACTGAAACAGAGTGTAATCGCCCGAGACAAGCTGTGATTGGTTGTTTGTTTTTTTATTGTTATCGGAATTGTTTCGCAAACATTTCGACAAAACTTTTGTAACACTCGCCTATATTTTTCGTGCTATTTCGCGAAGTAAGCAAGGTCAGACTTTGTGGTGGGTTCAGAAAAATAAGTAAACATGGAATATGAATAAATATCATTAGTTTGTAATGGCGTGTAATATAATACCACTATATTAAACGGATATGTAAAATTAAAAACAGCGCATTTAGAAAGCAGTTACACATGGTAGATTAAAGTGGCTATTTCTCTAAGATTACACAACACTATTTCGTTTTAATTCGTTCATTGTCAGGGACGCGCCGTCCATATGGGCAAGGTCGTGCGGCGCACGACGCGATGGCGTCAAAGCCCTAAAGGCGCCTGCGGTCACTGACTTTAAAAAATAATAAAACCAATTTTTGGAACTTATCAACAAATTAACATAAAATTTAAGTAATACTTTTATCTATGAACGCCAGTTGTGAAAATATATTATCCATCAATGTCGAGCGCCGCGCCGCTGGTCATTGGAAATTTTGGCTTAATATTATAATATTGGAGAAAGGCGCCTACCCTTATTTCGCACGACGGCGCCGAAAATACTTGGCGCGTCCCTGATCATTGTCTTATATTACTAATTACAATATAGCAAAAAAAATATATTTCCAAAACTTAAAATCGCAAAACAGCAAGGCATCGGTGACTAACTAACGGTCCGCCTTTTATCAGCTTATAATCTTATAATCCACGGTGTGTCCATTATTTCTTATTTTTGAATGAATTTATATTAAACCATGATGGTTGCTTACAAAAGTATCGTTAACAGTTTTCTTTTAAAAATAATAAGAGAATATTGCTTTTAAAAAATGTCTGTGGACCATACTTTTGTTGACATCGGATCAATCAATGATTTTTTCAATGAGCTCGATATATTGATGATGTTACCAGCATTGTTCATGAATCAATACTACTGTTTTATTAATCGATTAAGGCCGTAAACAATCATAACATACAATTTTATATACTAATTCATTATAACAAATTAAATAATAAAAATATTATAATTATTTTATATTCCTGCGGATTAAGTGAAAAGTTTTATCCCTAAATATCTACTCTACATATATTATAAACGCGTGTCGAGACGGGTGTTCCAATAGTTAGGGCACCTTCTAGAATAAATATATCAAAATAAAACGAGATGTAATTATACGCCGAAATATCATCGTAACAATAGATATTTTAGAAACGTCTAGGTTTACTTATTTCACTGAGATCTATGAAAAAAGTTCTCTTCTCGAGTATAGAAATCGACATGTCGTAGAAGTAGCTGGAGACAAAACGAAATTGAATGAGACAACAAGAGATAACCGAAAGTCTAAAATAAAAAATTCCCCATGTCCTTCTCTGCAATTTCACGAGCAGTTTCTTTTTAAGAAATGAAAATAGGCCTAGACGGAATTAACCGTTTTAGAAGAAGGAAAACTTTTTATGAAGAATATATTTTTCTCAAAATGTCAATAATAAAAAAGTTTTTCGTCTTGTAAGAAAAATCCGGGTACATACTGTATAATAATCGTTAAGGAAACCGCTTTTAAATTTAAAATCTTCTCGTCTAGACTTATAAGTTTTTTTTTTATCTAAATAGAAAAGTGTAGTGAAAAAAAAATAAAAAAAACATCTGGAAAAATTTCCGAGACCATAAAACAACAAGAGAAATAAAAAGCCAGAAAAAAAGCAAACAGATTTGTCGCCGTTCGGGTGGCCAATAAAAATAAAAACGGAGCCTTATCAGCAGCCGACTTTTTTATTATTCGCGATAAAATGGGAATTTAAAGTCGCGCTTTTATTTAGTTTGCCAACTTCATGGAAATTGCCCTCATTTTCGCGCCACCGCTCTATAGCTGTTCGTCATACTGCAGCAACTTAAAACCGTTTATGAGTCAATAGGGGATGATTTTTCTTGTGACAGACTGTTATATATCAGTATTATGAAATAACCTATGATCATAAATAGGGTTTTCATAAGTATATGTAAAAAATGCCAAGTCTCGCAACACAATTCTTCCACTAAAAAAATTATCAGAGCTCATGTAAAACCAAGTCAGTTTATTTATTTTGTTTCTCTTTAGCACCTATTTTGTTATAAATTGTTAGTCTCAATATTAGACATCTTTATTTCTGTAATAAATATAAATACTTGGCAATTAGACGATATGATATTCTATACTAACTAAAAACTTTATTTTTAAGGGCACTGTTTAGATTTTATTTAGTAATCGAAAAGGTAAATTATTATTCTTTTATAATTATGGTGCCGTGTAATTGCCAAGTAATTATAATTATTACAGAGATAAAGATGACTCATATTGATACTAACTTAATATAACTTTAACTTTTACTTATTTGTAACTATCTAATTTACCTAACATGTATTTATTATAAATGAAAAATGCCTAGTACCTAGACCTACCGAAAATCTCGATCTCGAAAGTAACGTAACGTCTGCAACGGGAGCATCAACCCCAACAGCGACAGACGAAATCTCGAACCTACGAGCGCTCCAGCAGTTGCGCGACCACTGACACTGGAGCGAAATACGTCGTGGTATTAGGTCGTTACCAGTTACATCTCTTCGCGACAGAAGAAGCTGTCGAGATCGCGCGACGCTACGTACTTTCGTATGTACGTTCCAGTTCCAGCCACTACTGTCCGCGATCAACGAAATCGCGACCCAAGGAGCGCGACGACTGGAGCGAAACACGGCGCTATGCGGTTACTGCGGTTCGAGCTAACTCTAAGGCCGGCCGCACTTTGAACGCGTTTTCGAACGAATTTGATTCGTGCGAACACCTACGAACACGCACAAACGATCCCGACCTTCCTAGTACAATGGGAGCGCGCATACTGAGTGCGAATTGGTCGTACGTAAACGCACGTAGGAAATTCATACCCTTTGAGAGTGAAAGTTTGCTGTATGAAAACATTTTATTATAACCATGGTATAAGGAAACTAGCAATTAAGATGTAAAAGGTCATTAAATAAGTCTTCCATAATATGATGAAATTCGCCGAATTCATTTCTTTTTAGATATATTTCACGAACCCATTCTCTTCTACGATAGCGACGTCGTCGCCGTAATATCCATAGAAGAGAATTATCTTGAAGATACAGATTCATTGCGCTCCAAAGAGGACTCCACGAGTGCGATATTTATAACAATGTCACCGAAACACAGCTGTTTGACGGAGAAAAGCGTTTTTGGTGGTATTATCGATACGGTTCGTACGATACAAATTCGCATCTAAAGTGCGGCCGGCCTAAGAGCGATTATACAGGGTGGTCCGAATTGTATTCCGGAAACTTTGGTAATATATTTTACTGATAAAAATAAGCAAAAAAGTTCATATAAATATATGTCCTAAAATGCTTACTTTCGGAGATACAGGGTGTAGAAGTTTCATTTTTATTTCGAATTTTTCCAAATAATTTCTGAAGTTACTTCAATATTTGGATGAAAATTGGTGTCTGAGAGTTTTTTGACATGAGAAATTTGATTTTAATGTCAAAATGACTTCTATTTGTAGGGGGCGCCACCTACGTGTGTTTTAACTTTTTTGAAGCGTAATAACTTTTTGTCCATACCTGTATAAAACTACCGAGCAAAAAAATATACATCTCTGTGGTTTTCTACGTAAAAAATATCACTTTGTAAAAATCGCTACGAGCTACCATTCTTAAGATATTTAGAATGGAAATAGTAAATACATGTCATTATTGACGAAACATAAACACGTTGAGTAGATAGTTATTTCATTAAGTAGGCACTCTACTAGTAGGAGTCATATTGATATCAAAATCAAGTTTCTCATGTCAAAAAACTCCCAGACACCAATTTTCATCCAAATATTGATGTTATCTCAGAAATTATTTAGAAAAAAAATCGAAATAAAAATGAAACTTCTACACCCTGTATCTCCGAAACTAAGCATTTTAGGACATACATTTATACGAACTTTTTTACTTATTTTTATCTGCAGAATATACTGCCGAAGTTTCCGGAATACAGTTCGGACCACCCTGAATAATTTATAGTTTTGTCGTTAATATGATCGTTGTTCTTCAGTAACAGGTTCCTGATTCGTTGTGGAACGCGACACGACGTTACAAAAAATACCGCTCCAAAATCGCGTTGTTCAAATACCGACACATCACTAGTGTCTAATGGATTCTAATTTCAGTGGTATTGTATAAAAAAATTAACATTTTTATCTATAAAAATCTGTTTCGGTGGAGAAATACCCAGATACCGTATGAAAAAACGGTGTCAGCGATGGCTATGAAATGAAGATCGCTGTCATTTTGTATGTAATATTATATGGGGAATTTCATCGATCGTCATTTCGAAGCCAACTGGTCCCCGTTTTTTGTCGATCATACGGTATTTCCAATAGTAAACATTCATCTATACATTTATTATTTAATGTATGCTGTTTTTCTTTTTAAAGAGAACAATAATTATTTTACTTATGAGAAACTATAAAAATGTGATTTTTAAATGAAAACTTACGTATTTTAACGTAAGTGTGTGTAAGTTTTACGTATATTAAAAAAT